CGGCCGCCGCGCCCCCAACGGCCACAGCGCCGCCCCAACGGCCGCCGCCAACGGCCCGCGCCGCCGGGGGGCGGGGCCGCCGCGCTCCCCGCTGTGGCGAAGCGAGGCTTGGAGACCGTCTCCTTTGTGGGCAGAAAAACGCTCGCTTCGGGTCATTCCTCTTCTCGTTTCATGCGGTTTCTCCTGAGGAGGTGCCCTGTGAACTGCACGGCAGCCCCTTTCTGCCCCTCAGATCCCCTGCCTCAAGCCACAGCAGGTCACCTTATAGCTCTTTTTCTCCCCAAATTCTCCCCAAAATTCAGCTCCATGACRCCCATCCTCCTTGTTGCACACACCACAGCCACCCCCGGAAAAGAAAACCAGCCCTCAAGCAGAAAAAAATCGCCTTTCAGACATTTTTGTGGCTTCTGGGCCACAGGKGCTTCAGCACCAGGGCTGGTCCTCAGAGACGCTCACCCCATCCTGCACAATCACAATACAAAATTGTTTGTTTTTTAATAGTCAAAAATAGAACCTGTAACAGCCACCACCTTATATAATATACCACTGCAAATATACCTTAAACTATCTCTGTTTTGTCTCATGGAGCAGTGATAGGGACTGAGATGCAGCTGTGCCTATCAAAACAGCCAGAAAGATGCTATTAAATGYGTTTCCTGTGTGTCCAGAGTTAATCCAATGCACTTGCCTGTCCCTGAGCAGGCCCAAGGTAATCGAATGAGGAGGACTAGAAGTAGCCTGAAGTCCAGAGGAGGACTATTACGGTCCAAGATTTAGGTATATTGCACAATACACAAAGTCAATCCCTCAACACACAACTGTGCCCATCAGAAAACACAAATAACACCCCGTGACAGATGGCCTTAGCCTTCCTGACAGGCTTCTAATGTGTGTTTGAACGATAACTCAAACAGCTGCAGAACCTGGCTCCCAAAGAGCRCAAAGCCAACAATAAGGCCAAATTTCAACCGTGCAGGACCCAAAGCAAGTGCTGTTCAGAGCTCCAGAGTATAAGGAGCTTCCTAAAGCAGCACAGCTTCGTATTTAACACTTAATATATAGGCGACTGCTTCAGTCCCTATAGACAGGGGCAAGTAAATCTCTCCCACCCCAAAAACTAGACACAAACTTTTGTGTCAACTACTATGACTTTCTCCACCTCTACAGCAAAGGGGAGCTGGTGTCTTTTAAAGACACTCAAGATACTTCTGCTGTTAGCATTTAGCATAGCAGTTACCTTTCTACCTTAAGAGAGACGGCCTGTTAAGCAGAGTGTATGCAAACACCTTAAATGACTTGTTCAGTTACTGCATTCTGAGTAGTAATTAAATCAATAATCAAATTAGAGAATGGCTGCCATGTTTTGGCATGCAAAGTGCAAGATTCAAATTGACCTAGGTTGTTTGTAAATATGGTCATTACAGCAGAGGAAGAGTTACACAACAAATACTCAAGACATGCAATTTAATTCCCTTGAAAAAGAGTTACAGAGAAGGTACCCTGGSATAGGCTGATTTAAACAAGTTTTATTCAACTGTTTGGGGAAAGGAAATGTATTGATATAAAAAACGTCAAGAAATGAATTGACTTTCTTGAAGTCTGCTAATCCGTCCAGGCACATTTATAAATTCACAAATACTTGGCAAGAGAATTCACACATTTTACTTAACCTGGACTATATTGTATCTTAGAACTGTACAGAAAATTCTGTAGCCAAATTGCAACTAGTCTTACCAAGTTACTAGCTACATTAAACACAAATGTCTTGTGATAATAACCACGATGTACGTTATTTATCTATTGTGATATATTAACCCAGTAGGCCCTGTGCAGTCAGTCATGGATTATATGGTTAATTTAAACAGGTTTGTAGTCAAGCTTGGACTCCAGCTTCTTGGAATCAGCCACTTTTCTAACAGCTTTCATGAAGTCTTCCTGAACTACAAAGTCATGATCAGCACGGATTGCAAACATACCTGCAAAAAATAATTTAGCAGCAAGAATAAGTTAGTGTTACTAGCAGTAACCGTAYAGAGGAGAGAGCAAACTGAAAGTTTCCAAGTGAAGAAGATCAAAATTACAGTCTACACATGTAGATGAGCAAGTGCATACTTTTCTTACCACAATTTATATGTCAGAGTAAACTACAGTGAAGCCACTTTTTGTGCTAGGCATTCCCTAAAAGAAATACACTATGTAGCTAGCTACTTTTTACCCATGCTTGTTCATCAGTTTTCCAATGCAGACAAACCTTAAATGGACAATGAATTTAGAAAGTGGAGAAAAATACTACTCTCTACCCAAGTGCTAGGAGACATGGATGCGCCACAAAAAAACAAAATAAAACAAAAATACCCTAGGTACTACTCTGTCTTGGATCACATGTATCACTATTTCTGGAATAAATCTAGTTTGCACGAGGCAGTCTGACAAATGGTACTGAACTATAGGGCCTTTTTACATGTTACAGGACAGTGCAAAAATCCACATAATTCTGCATGGATCCAGCTTGTGTGACGGGATTAGCAGGCACAATGTCACATGAATGCAGCGCTACTGCTCATATCTGGCAGTCGATAYGTGCAGAATCAGCTGGACTGTTTGCACGCCTAGCTGGTTAAGCAGATTGATTCTTTACATCCACCCTCTAGGGTTATCAACAAGTATCTTATCAAGTTCTGCACAACTGTATAGGTCATATGGAGACTTAGAAAAAAAAAGAAATGAGACTTTTGCCCAAGATTTTCCATCAAACTTCTGGGCATGTCACCATTTCTGCTGTTTATGCTCAACAGTCTAGACATGCATGACATGCTGCAAAATAAGCAACTGTTGTAGTGGTCTAGACAGCAGCAAAATACTAGTATTTCCATGAAGTAAATGCTATTTTGAACTTGAAAAAGGTGTTCTTATAGCCTTGAGGAAAGGAAAGAGAAAAAAAAAACGACAAAAAAGCCACATCGCTGAACAAGCAGTGTTCCAGCAGAACATTCTGGACCTCTGGATTTGTATTTATCAACAGAAATAACAGAGAAACAGTAACAGCTCAAATGTTTGACAWAAATGAAAACCTAGCACATCAAAATTAAGAATTAAGACAATACCTGCTTCAGTACAGACATTTCTCAAGTCTGCTCCATTAAAGCCATCTGAAAGCTTCACAATTGCTTCATAATCTATTCATGAAACACAAACACCAATAAGATATAAAATCATATTTCTGGTGAGTCCAGCTAAAACACGTTAGTGCAAACAGTTATTTCAAGTAATTTGTSAGCCATATTATTCCTTTTATTAACACAAAAACGTAGCTCCGTCAAAAGCTCATAGTATATAATGAGAATCCAAAGATGCTAAATTGCAGCTACAAATATCAACATGAGACGCAAGAAAAATCTACATCAAAACAAAACCCTAATCATCATTTAGGTGCACCAGATTAAAAAATGAAAACTTATCTTCATATGATAACGTGTTTCCTTTCTGCTTCCAAGAAATGCAGCATTTTGCTATATTAAGACATACATATATATATTTACAGAAAGGAGTCTAGGGCTATAATTTCTAGAATATATTTAAAGCTGTGTTTATAAACAAACTCATGTAAATTCAGTTTTTTTCAAGGATCCATATTATTTCTCAATTTGTACTCCACCTATCAGAAGTATGAGAAATGCAATCTTATTTTCCATAAGTTCATATYTTTGAAATCAAAAAATGTCAACATCTACTCCCCATGAAATTTTTCAAAACAATTTACCTTCTCTATGAAAGACCCAAGAAATATGAAATAAAAAATTTGTTGCTGTTGTTTACTTCTGGATTTTAAGAATCTCAAAACATCCAGAGATTAGAAATTCTGCCACTTCATCCCCAGGGAGGGCACGATCTTATAATTAAGCCTCCCCACAGTTGAAAAGCCAGAAAAAATAAGCAAAGGGACTAAGTGCTGTTCAATGATGCAAGGTTGGGTAGGTTTAAAGTCTCTTCAGCACACATTAATTCAGCAGGAGAATCTCATGATGGAATCTGGAGCAGGTCGTTACCTGAGGATTTTAATGCAATTCCCTTCCCTTTCTTGCACCCTACCTTGCAGGGGAATTAAATCATGCTGGATTTCCTTTCAGGATAACCGATTCTAGCAACACAGCCTTCTCACATCACATTCAGGAAGGGAGCATCTCACACCTCAGTATTCTACGTGGTACAAAGGAATAACCCTTGTCTGCTTTCATCGCAGTGCCTCAAAATACAGGGAAAAGGGAGGAAGTCCCTTCCTTTACCTCGAGTTCAGGATTTGCTTTGGAGCTCCTTCTGTGTCTCAGTCTACAAGCTGCTGCACATTTGAGCCAACACGGCTGCCAGGAAAGGCAATCCTCATCCCTCCCCCAGCTCATTCCCATTCCCGGGCCGCCCTCCCTATGGAGCTGCAGCTGTTTCTGCAGACAGATGGCAAACCAGATCAGTTCCACTCCCCGCTTCATGCTGCCCGGCTGCGGGAAGAGCTCGTGTCAGCAGAAGGGAGGGGGGAACACGCGCCTGGGAACAGACAGGCAGGGTCTGGGGATCATTACTAAGAAAAGAGCAGTCAAAATTATTAAAAGGCACATCACAATTACAGCTTGCTCAAGGAAAGCTTTGAAGCCTCACGG